TGCGATTTGATCCCTTCTTGTGCACCTACAGACCATACAGACTACTTTGATATATCAGAGTTTATAATTATAGCTAAACAATTTGTGCTGCGAATTGGAATTTACCCTTGGAAGTTTATAAAGATTATAAACGATGCAATTCCTATGAGCTTCCTCACATTCTTTTGATAGTTTTTTCAAGTTATGAAAATGGAAACAAACTATTTGACTTTGATAGTCAAACATGTCCATTTTCTTCTTATTCAATTTACTGCTATGTATTCTCTACAGCAGCTGTAAGTTAAGAAAAAATTTCTAGATATACGCACCATTCGGAAGTGGCCGTACTCAACCCAGTGTTCGTTATTGCGCTACCTTTCCTTGCCTACCTAGTCTCTGAAATGTTCGGTCTTTCCAGTATTATGGCGTGAGTGATCTATACTAGACCGTCAATTTTTCCTATTACAAACATTTTTTATTCAGTATAGTGTTTTGCGGAGCTGCTATGAAACAGTATGTAAAATTGAATGTGCCCGAGCAAAATCTACTCGCAATTAACTACTTTATCAAGGCGGGTTTGTTAACAATTTTTGAGGAGCGCGGTCCAAGGCTACTACTTCAGTATTTGAAAATGATTTTCAGGTGCTTTCCATGTGTTCTGAAACAGTGATCTTCGTCTTTCTTGGGTTGTCTACGGTCTCATCCGATCACCATTGGGATACGCCTTTCATCGTTCTGACTACCGTATTCTGTCTCATCTACCGTACTCTAGGAGTTGTTGTTATGTGTTTTGTACTTAACAAGTACCGCCTAAACAAGTTCTCAAAGGTTAGAATGTTTTATATTCTAAGGAAAATGTATGATGTATGAAAATGTATGAAAAGCGTATTTTAGGTTGACCAGTTCATCATGGCTTATGGAGGTTTGCGTGGTGCCATTGCTTACGGTTTGGTGGTTGCTCTACCAAATATTCCAGCCAAGAATATGTTTATCACTAGTTGCATTGTTGTTATCTATTTTACAGTTTTCTTGCAGGTACTATAATTTCCACTTCGAGCAGAGGTACATGTTATTGCTTATTGCGATTTCAGGGTATCACTTTGAAACCGATAGCTGAATTTTTGCAAGTGGAAAAGAAGAATATACACAAAAAGAATATGACAGAGCATATCTACCAAGAGGTAAGAGTTTCCGACAAAATCAATTCTGAGATGATCAAAGTGATGCACAGACCCATCACTATGTACAGAACCGTGAAAAACCAAATCCCCCTCAGTATCAGATTTTCTCTTGTGAAAAGTTGAAGATAGCGTAAAGTACACCCACTAAAAGGGCGAAGGTACTGAACAAAAAGCAGTAAGAGATTCTCCGGTAGAGCTTTAGTAGTTACTAGGTTCAAGAGTGATGTAGTGATAATAGGAAATTTCTACGCAAGGTGCTTGAAAATTTCGCTGTGGATTACGCCGCAGTTGGACCCTCTGGGCTCTATTTCATACTCGAATCAATGAAGTGACTGATTAGCTAGAGGGTGTGTCGGTCTTGGTTGAGCTAAGCCAAGAGTATGAATGAGTGCATAATTAGACAAAAGATTTTTTCAATCACTAATAATTCAGTGCAACAGTTAGACATGGAATTAAAAAATGTAGATCAGAATACCATTGACAAGCTATCAGATTGCAGCAGAAATAATGCAAGTTTCCCGCACTTCTCTTTTGGAGTAGCAGATTAGGACAGAAAATCGTAAATAGAAACTTTCTGTATTATACGAGAGCTCCTTCCCACTAGCCCTTCAATTTTGCTTTATTTTCTTTGGAATTTCATTTGGATGTTCAACTCTAAATACAAGTGAAACTTGGAGTTTCTTCCATTTGCTCTCCTCGCTCTGAACTCATCGGGAAAATGAGAGATTTTTTT